TGATTGGCTCAAGGGGCATCGTTTACACGCGTTTGTTGCTCTAAATATGTTGTACCTATGACACTAAAAAGACTTCTGCTGTTGCACGCTTCTTGTCGTGTTCTTCCTTTGGGGAGTCACACAAGGCGTTATTGGCGGTGATATCTCAGACTGGGCTTCCGTTATAATAAGAATGACTTATCTCGTCCCTAATCAGGTTACGAAAAAGGAAACCGCCCGCAATACAGGTGTCCTTTTGCCAAATTTATAGGAAAGCGGGGTTAGGCTTAAGTTTAGCGTTAAGTTTAACGTTAGGATCAGTGCTAACTGTAGGGTTTAGGTTAAATTAGGATTACTAATTACGTTCATGATAATAATATGTTTATTAATATAGCACCTCTTGGACGTTGTCCATCTTTTCATGATACAGGGAAAAATTAAACTAACTTAATCATTTCTTCCGGTAGCAATTTGGTTTTGTGTTGGGTTTCTTGATCTAGTTAATAGTGTGCGAAATGGAGGGACACAATGTTAAAAGTTAAAAACCTCTTCAATAGTTTAGAAATAACAAAAATAAAAAAAAACTATACATTTTGGGGATTGATGTTTCATGTTAAGAATTTTTGGGGTCATTAATATTTCGCCTGTCATGGACTTTTGAGAATATTTTCTAGTGGTGGACTCAGCTGGGCTTAATTCGAAGGGTAATCAAATCCGATTGCATTGTTCGGCCGACTTACTTAGGCAGCGATCTAAAGAAGATAGATATGAATTAGAGGCAGGAAACGTGAATATGTATCCTTCCTGAAATTATGTGCAGGGTCTCCTGTTTTACTTTGACTGGGCGCTTCTCTTACCTTGTCCTGCTTAAGGGTTCATACAACTCATCAGTATCCACAGATGTCCCACTTTATTGCCGATTGCTGGCTGATCCAAAAACTGCTTAGAAAAAATCTTACAGAAAGGCTTCGTCGCAGAGAGTAAGTATGTGCTTCAGACAGAAACATGTGGGAATGCCCCGAAAAAAAAACTTTGCAGTAGCGCAGTCATTTGACCTGCGAGCTGCTCTGAAAAGCCATCGCTGTGCGCGCACGTATCAGCGGTTGTCTGTTTGCACTGTCCTTATCGCCGCCTCACTTTCTGCGCGTTCGCCGATTGGTCAATTGGCTCACAAACGGCTGCGGCTCATGCTAGACCCATGCCTGCCTACACTATTCACTCTTGTGTCTTCTCCCTTTTTACAGGGGTATTCATTTATATAGACCCCTGTATGCATTGTAATATTTTCG